CTTTTCTTTTGTTGATGGAGGAACATGTTTTCATTCCTTCCCTTGCTTGTTGTCAAAACAAATATGGTTTCTTTTGTATAACGACGGTCCCTATTGACTTTGATCCGATTATTGATTTGGCACGTTGATTTCTAAAATTCATTTTATTTCCTTTGATTATAATTTGTAGTCCTCTATTACTAATATGTGTTCTTACTTCTGACTTTCTAAGGGTATTTAATTAATCCCTAAGATCAAATTATACCATATCAGTTACCGAAAAAGGAAGATTTCCTCTCTCGAATCATAAACCTTGTAAAAATGAATTGCTGTGTTTTTTTTTCCATTTTCGTTTAAATAAATTTTATCTCTTTGATAATCATTCTTGTGTCCATTATATTGTTGATTGTTTGTTGTTCAAGTTTTCTATGTGTGTTGTATGTGAAAACATGAGATGTCTGATGTAGCTCATCGTGTTTGTCTTGGGATGATCCGTTCTATCCTGCTCTGATGTAACGTTGGTCGAGTCCTAAGGAACTCTATCATTTTGGTGATTAAAAGTATTCTGGGTAATCAGAGCTTACTAATCGTTACGTTGATCATGCATAACGTATATGATATTATGCATCTGTTTTTTTCCCCTTTTCTTTAATACAAAGTAATGAAGAGCTAGCATAAAACTTAAGCAAACAACATTCGTGTGTAAAGCACCTTAGCAACCATTATGCGTGGACTGGAACAGCAGTTTCTCATTCTGGAGTATATCAGCAATGGCAGCAGGTGGAGTATGAAATTTTCGACTGCCAACTGGAGAGTTCCAAGCTAACTTAGCAAAGTCCATCGGCCTCAATTCCAATTGCGGTCAAGAAGTACAAAAATGTGTGGGATCATCGGCGAGGCTCTCTTGATAACTTGTTGTGTATTTTGTATGTGATATATGATTATTGTTTAGCTTGTATGACTTCAGTATTATTTTATTTTAGGGTTTAGGATATGGGGTCTAGAGTTTAGGGTTAAGATTTTTCGGTACAAACTAAACATTATATTTGTATATGAATTATGGCATGACTATGATCTTACTTGTTATTACGTATGATTTTATATTCATTCAATCTATAGTTTTTGAAATATTTTTTAAGTCGTTTTGATGACTGTTGTGACCAATTATTCAATTATAACATCTAAATTAAGTGTTGGGTGTCTTTACCCTTTATTGAGATTAAAAAAAATTAATATCAAAATCGTGACTCTTAGTAACTATTAACGACTTTAGTGATAAACATGGCTAAATTCAAAAGAAAAGAAAGAAAAAAAATTAAAGCCTAAAAGAAAAGAAAAATAACAAAAATCTATCAATAAAATAAAACTTACAAGAACATCGCCTTAAAGAGCACACATTTACGTGTTACGTACACGTGCACATATTTTTTCCGTTTAAGTTTTGTATGTTTTTTTCTAACTAAATCTTAAAAAATAAAATATTTGGTCACTCTCATTTTTATTTTATTAAAATGTGACCACTAAGAATTAAATACCATTAGACCTTTAACTGATTACTGACGTGGCATAACGAATTTATAAATAAAAAATGATAAACTACGAAAATGATCATGGATGTTTGAGTAAATTTTTGTTTTCTATTAAAGTTTTAAAAATAACAAATTAATCACTAAAATATCAAATAGACCTTTAAACAATAATTTTATATCTAATTTACTTCAAAATCTTTCTAATTTTTCTCAATATATATATATATATATATATATATATACTTTTTCAACGTTCGTAAAATGGTATGTTTCAGTTAGGTTGCTTCTACTCCCTCTTTTGTTCTTTAAAGTCACTTTGCCTCTAAAGCTTCACCTTCTCTTTTTTGGTTCATACAAGGTCATCTACTGACAGTTCTAAACTTTCAGGTGCGATATATTTTCGTTGTCGATGGTGACTGTCGTTCTAGTTTATTGTACAAATCCCATTTTTTTCCTTTGGATTATATATTTTTGGTATTTGGGATTGAACATTTTTGATGTTATGCAATCAAATGACAAGTTTAGGGATAATGATGGTGGATCGAGTGATTTGTGATATGGGTTTCTTCTCTTCTTGCAGATAAACAAGCTGTTTGATTAATAAATAGTGGGTGAAAATATCAGAGGTGCTGCTCTTGTACCTATTGCTGGTACCTTTGGTAACTTTTCGCAGGGATGGGATAATGCTACCATTGCTGGTACTTCCTTCTTTTTTCACATTGACAGATTTTCAATTGGGGCAATGCTGGTTGGGGTTTATTCACTTGAGTAATCCTTTCTTTTTAATGCTGATTGGGGCCTATTAAAATATAAAAAGTGTATATATGTGAAAATTGAAAAATTAGAAAACTTTTGGAATAAATTAGATATAAAATCATTGTTCAATAACCTATTTAATGTGCTAATGACCAATTTATTACTTTGAAACTTCTATAGGAAAAACGAAAGTTTATCCAAACATTAGTGATCATTTATGTAATTTGTTAGCAGTTAAACGACACTTAATCCTCACTAACTATATCTTAATTAAATAAAAAGAAAGTGACAAAATAATATGTTTTTTAATTTAATATAAAAATTTATTTAAAATTTGAACGAAAGTGATCAATTATATAGTTTATCCTATTTTTTTATACTTAAATATAATCTTTATACTTTCTCTTATTAAATAATTGATGTTAACATTTACACATATCATTATATTCGTGTCATCGTGTTCGTGTATGCAATCCATCCATCCATCCATCCATTGAATAAATCAAGAAATAATGAGATTTAAAAAAACTATAACTAGATAAAGAATAAATAAAAAAAAGAAAGTAACTCTCAATAAACACATAATCTAAAATACAACTTGCTAATATAAGTTTAATATATAACAAAAATTAATTGTAACCAAAAAACTTATATTCTCCCTTACAAATTATGATTGTAACCTGAAAAGTTATCGTCAAGAAAATTTTTAAGTTGGACATGTAAAATTTTAGGTTAAAACCTATCAAAGTATAAAATTTTCAATTGTAACTGAAATTATTATAAATTATAGAACTTTTAAGTTTAGACAAAATAACTTTTTAAGTTAAAATTATCACAAATTAACCTTAAATTATTCCGTCACACGGTAAAACTAACCCAAAGAAAAACAGAGTATGAAAAAAAATGGGATAGCTATTTTACGCCGAAAATTTAACGGTAAAACATTTTATCAATATTGCAAAGAGAACTACGTTATCCAACTTTAGGCCAACCAAACTTCAAAAAATGTATAAAATAAATTAAAAAATATGAATTACATAAAAGTAGAGATGAGTAAAACTCGACTCGACTTGAAAAATTATTTTTTTAATTTTAAGTTATTCTAATCAACTTGAATTATCAATTCGATTTTTCAGTTCAAGTCTAGTTGAATTTTTGAAATTTCAAATTACTCGAAAAACTCAAAATTTAATTAAGTATTTTGATAATTTTACGATTTAATCCCTAATTCCATTATTCAATTTTTCTTTCATTTTAAGTCACTTTTTACCAAATCTGAATCACATACTTCTAAACTATTGTAAAATATATAACAATTTCTCTTTGATAACAAGTTTACTATTTTTCAATTTAATCCCTAAATTTTTAATAATTTTCTTATTTCTTCAATTCATCATGTATTTTAATTTTATTTTTTCACCAAAACTCAATTTGATCTTTGATTGCAATTGTTTGCATCTTCTCATTAATTCCTTGACTCCTTTATACCTTCATCAACATTTCTACCCTCAAAATACATTTTTTAAATATAATATTATGAATATATTTTATAAATTTAGATTGTATTTGATATATTAAATAACGTTATATGTGAAAAGAATATGAAATATATATCTTACATGGTTAGAGAAAGTCGAAAAATTAGAATCAATCCTTATCATAATACTATGAATAATTATAATAAAATTAGTATAAAAACTCAAATAAATTGACTCGAATTTTTCAAACTTAATTCGACTCGAAAAAAATTCAAGTTAAGTTCGAGTTATTAAATATGACTTGTCAACTCATATAACTCGATCGAATGCTCACCCTACATGAAAGAAACAAAAGTTTGAATCCCATAAATGCATATATATCATAGGCAAATATAAATCCCATAAATGCATGATCCAAGCAAAAACAATATGAGCTAGCGCACCAACACCTACTTTTGCTCAGGTAAAGAAAGGGACGGCAATACCCATAGACTACCAACGCACCCAATTACAAAAATGAAAAACGGATGATAATTTCTAAAACAATATTTTAGGCAATTTCAAACGAGCTTAGCAAAACCATGAACCCTGTCAATCATATGACTGCCATCAAGTAAAAATCCGACTCGACTTGAGAGAATGAAAGAAACCAAAATAAGTACAACATACAGAGACAAAGTGAAACACATTTAGTCGGATTCTCGTTTTTCTTAAAATGTGTATCAAGAACATGCCCGCAATCAACACTAGCAACAAACACGTCCAAAAACCAGCACAAGAACCCAATCATTACTTTCAAGCCAAAGGAAAACACAAGGATAATCAAGCCCTAAACCCAACTTCTAACTAGAATACAGAAGACTGCATACTCGTAAATTAGTTTGCACTTTAAAAATAAAAGGCAAATTTTAAGTGCAAGAGTAAAGCCAAACCAACTAATCAGTAATCAACAGAAAAATAGTCACCATTAGATGAAAAGCGAATGGTTGATGCAGAACTAAATCGAAAACAGGTTTTAAAATCTAATAAGAATCAATCCAAAAGTAGAACAGGAACAACAACCTGCGTCTCAAGCTGAAGCACATCAAATTCTCATGCAGGCAGGCCAAACAACTACAGTTAAGTAGGAATGATACTACAGGCCAAACATTGAAAAGAGTACTAATTCAAAGATTCAATTAACATCTTCCATCAAATATAAATCCCTAAAGCAATCACGAATTTTTAAGAGAAATGGGTAACTAACACAGCAGCATCATATAACAAAATAACCCAGAAATATATCATAGAAACAGATTCAAATCCGCCCTTAAATGCAAAATGTTTGAAGCACTAGGTTGAACACCAAACTTTCCTTTCTCAAGATGATAACACAAAAACGAAAAGAGCCTCAAAACCTAAGCTTAGTAAAAACCACCTTTTCCAGTCTTGAACCTCTCTTCAAACCTCTCCTTGGTTGCCTTGCAAGCAGCCACTTTCTTGTCCTTGGTTAGAAGAGCATCGACGGAAACCACGTCTTTCAAATCCACATCGAGGGTGTAGCGCGTGGGCATCAGATGCTGGTAATTGACGAGCTTGACGAAGCACTTGACACGTGATTTCTTAGCTGTTTTTTTGGCGGAATCCTTGCGGATAACCTTGCTGGGGTACTTCTTTATCCCCGCAACCAAACAGTGACCATAGGGGCGGTCGCGGATGCCATCGTCGAAGGATTTCACGATCACCGCTTTGCGACCGGCGTATCGGCCTTGGAGGACGATGATGGCCTTGTTGGGTTTCAGAAACTTCACCATGGCGACAACAAGCAGCTGCTCCTCCGGTTCTCTGCACGCAAAAGCCCAAGTCGAGAAAGAAAGGAAAAATCAAAAAGAGGTATATATAGACTATGAACGAGTGAAACCCTAGCCTTTTTTTGTATTTTCTAGGTTTCATTGGGCATTGAAAATCCAATTTTTAACAGTTACGTTCGTGTTTGAATGAGCCCGGTCCAACCCACTTTACCTTCTAAACAATAATCAAGTAACAGATTTTTATGAATAAATCTAGGGTAAAGTATAATGTGTGATCACTTAACCATTGTATTTTTTTTACTTTGACCATTGATCTTTCAATTTTTTCAATTAAACTATTTAATTATTTTCAATCAAGTCACTTGTCGTTAACATTTAACGAATAAGGTGACGTGACAGTTAAATATTTTGGTATAATTATACATTTGGTCTATGTTACTTATATAATCTATCGATTTAGTCTTATTTTTAATAAACTAAAATAAATTTAACTCTCGAATATGATGGTGTCACGTGACACGTGCCTAGTGATAGGTGTCACGACACGTGTCACCATTCAATTAGAAAGTTAAATTTATTAAAGTTAAGACTAAATTGATAGAATAGTATTGTTTTTGTTATAATACTTGAATAAATTATGTGTAATTCTGTTTTTATATCAGTTTCAATTTTTATACTACATTTTGGATGGTTTCAAGGATAAATGTGATGTTCGAGATTCGATTGTAACGTCTAGATCGAATCCAAAAATTTGCATTGATAACCACATTGAGTTTAATTATATCAGAATTTGAATAAGATTGAATTTTTAATAAAAAAACAAGCTCTTCCAATACATTTTCCTATTAATATACGTTGAATACAAGGTATGTATATGTTCAAAAGATTTTTGACCAAGGGTGAGCATTCGACCGAGTCTAGTTAATTTTTTTTGAGTTATTCGAGTTAATGAGTCATATTTTATGAATTGAAGTTGACTTAAATTTTTTTTATAACATCCCAAAAACCAGACTAATGACTAAAACGTAAGTTTTTGAAACTTGGTGTCTGAATTCAAAAAATTGAAAAGTTCAGTGACTTAATTGTAATTTCTTAGGTGTTACTGATTTGGAAAGAATGAAAGAAGGAAGGGCAAAAAGTTCTTTTAGCCGGAATGAATTTAAATTCATAAGTGGGGTATTATATATACACGTGTGAAAAAGGGAAATGAAGAGTGAGTGATATCCAGATACTTCTTTATCTTTCTTCTTCCTCTCCACTGTGGGGGTCTTGCATAAGGTGAGTATGCTTCTTAGTGATTATTCCTTTAATTTTAAGGTTGGTTTTGATTCTTGGAGCATTAGGAAAGCTTAAGGAAGCTTAAAGAGAATTAGAAACTAAAAGATTTACAAGTTATGAGAGATTAAGTAAAATGAGTTTTTGAGTGAATTGTTGAAAAAGAAGGAGTAAATGGATTTTGAAGCTGAATTTGACTTGTCATGAGTAGAAATAAGAAATTCAAAGTGTTAGAAATGAATTTGGAATATGTTGATAAATTGGTCTAATTATTGAATTCAAGTGTGTATGTGAGATATTGGATATTAGGATGAATTAAAGTGATCTAAGTTGATTTGAATAAGTGTAGTTAAGCCTAAAGGGTTAAAAGAAGGTTATAGTAGAAGATTTAAGTAAGTTTGGTAAATTTTTGGGTAAAATAAATAAGTTCTGGCTTGGGGTATCGGTATTGTTCATCCAATACCGATACTTCAAAGCAAAATAAGTATAGTTTGAGCTTGGGGTATTGATACTGAAGGAACAATATCGATACCATAAGATAAAATCGGATAAAATCCTTAAGAAGTATTGATACCTAAAGAGCGGTATCAGTACTGGTTAAAGGGGGTATCGATACCAAGTGTCTAGTATCGATACCATTATCGAGTTATAAATATAGAATGTCAAAATGGTATCGGTACCTGGGGGTATCGATACCATAAGAGGATAGTATCGATACTATAGTAAGAGTACCAATACTATTAAGCTTAAAATGCTAAACTAAGTGGTTCTTTCAACATAAGTTATATTGATTAGTTATAAGCGATTCGAACTCCAATATTCATATAAGTCGTATTATTGTGTAGGTATTAATTGGAAGCGAGTACCTGATGAGTCAACGAGATAAAAATTGAGCAAGAAAGAGATAAGTGCATGATTTGGACTAGTGAGGCTAAGATGAGTGCATATTAGTTGGTATATGATGTGTTATGGAAATAAGACTTGCTACAAGTCTATTTCCTATATTAGAATTCATGAATATAAGTATGTGTTTGATATGATCATTATGTGTGCTTGAGTATTTAAATATGAGTGTATGTGTTATATGCTATTGTATGTGTTACATGGTACTATATGAATACAGATATTTATGGTAACTGTGTGTTATACATGATCTTGCGTGATAATGATCTAGGTGAATATATATATATATATATATGATAACAATGTATAAGTTATATGAATTAGATCTATGTGAACTGGTATAATTGATTTATGTGATTAAATGAAATTAGAGATAAGCTGAGTATAATGGACCTATATGATAATATGAGAATGTTATAGGAACTAGGTGATAATAAGTTATGAGATATATATATATATATATATATAATATATATTATATATATATATGATAACAATGTATAAGTTATATGAATTAGATCTATGTGAACTGGTATAATTGATTTATGTGATTAAATGAAATTAGAGATAAGCTGAGTATAATGAACCTATATGATAATATGAGAATGTTATAGGAACTAGGTGATAATAAGTTATGAGAATATATATATATTCTTATGTGATAAGTTAGGTGAAACAGAACTAATGGAATATATGAAATTAGTATATAAGAAATATGAGATAGTGATTATGTAAACCTAGGATATAAGCTATAAGGTATTAATATATGGACTATATGAAAATGAGTACATGATTGTCTGATAATTTATATGAATTGATATAATAACATTATATGACTAAGTGAAGTAGTAAAATAAACTATGTGTTGTTGACATAAGGGATTATATGAACATGTGATATAAGCTATGTGTCAATAACTTATATAATTATATGTTCATGTGATATGCGACTATATATACTACATGATATATGTGAACATTAGAGAACAAAGTATAAGCTATATGATATGATATAAGTGATTACACGAGAAATGATAAGAGCTATGAGTACATGTATATGTGATGATTTGGATGACTATGTGAATATGTACTAAAAATAAATAATAATTCCCATGTTATATGATATGAGAGCTAAGGGTATAGTTGGTATGCCAAGAGTCTAGAGTTCTATATGGACCTTCGGGACATATATGTGGTCATTCGGGACAATTTTATATGCCACTCAGTGGAAATTTATACGAGCTATAATGACAACATTGGTGGAGAACCTCAATGTACTCACATATCTTTAGTTCTCAAAAAGTGTACATTGGCTATTAAAAAGAGATAACATAAATAAATTCTATGTGATGTTATGTGTTTTGATGTGTGAAATGTAAGATATGATATGTATAAATGTTAAGTACAAGATTTGATGATAAAAGCGATTAATGAGAGTAATATTGATAACTATAAGAAGGTTGAGAGTGATAATGATGAGATATGTGTATATATGTATTTTGCTATATGAAATTTTCTATAGTTTTGTGTTATATCATGGTATGAAATGTTCATACATTATTAGATAATAAAAGTTTCCAGTATGTGTTTTATATGCCTCACTAAGTCATAGACTTAGCGTGTGAATGTTTTACACGTAGGTTCCGAAAGGATTAAGGAGCAAAGAGGGATAAGACAAGTCAGTTTCTTCTTTCCGAAGATCAGATCAAAAAAGTATGGAATTGTATGTATTTTGTTATAATGAAAGTAGTTGGCATATACATAAAGATTTAAACAAGATTTGCTCTGATCGGTTTTGTAAAATCGTACGATTGTAATTAATGTAAATTATTCATATTTGTTTTCCATGTGAACTTGAATTTTAGTTATTTTGTAAAAGTAAATGTTTTGAAACATTAATGTGAAACCTCGAATTCGTATCCGGATCAGGTACAAGTTGGGGTGTTACAATTTTGAGTCGATTTGAGTTGTTCAAGTTTTATACAAATTTAATTATAAGTATTTATATTATTAAAGTACGAATTGGTTCCATTTTTTTTACTTTCTCTAACTATATAAGATATATATTTCTTCATATTATTTCACATTATAAAGTTATTTAATATATTAAATACAATCTAAAATTATAAAATATATTTACAATGTTATATTTTAAAGAAGATACTTTGAGGGTAAAGTGTTGATCAAAGCATAAAAGAGTCAATGAATTGATGGGAAGAAAGAATTTGCAAACAATTACAATCAAAAGACAAAATTGAGTAAAATGCAAAGTTAAGGGACTAAATTAAATAAGTGAGTAAATTTTTAATAAAAATAGGAATTGAAGTTATATAGATATTCTATAGTGGTATAGGAGCATGTGGTTCAAATTTGGTCAAAAACATACTTGAAATGAATGATTAATTGAAGAAATAAGGAGATCATGAAAAGTTGATGGACTAAATTGAAAAATAGAAAACTTGTCATCAAAAAGAGGAATTAAAAGTACATAGGTATTCTACGATGGTTTAGGAGCATATGGTTCAAATTTGGTAAAAAATGACTTATAATGAATGAGGAATTGAAAGAATAAGAAAATCATGGACTAAATCGCAAAACTATCAAAATACTCAGCCAAATTTTAAACTTTTCGAGTGGCTCAAAATTTTCAACTTTCAACTTGACTCAAACTCGAAAACCAACTCAATAATTTGAGTTGACTCAAATAATTTGAATAACTCGACTCAAATAACTAGATTGAAATAAAAATGATTTTTTGAGTCGAATTTTGCTCACCCCTACTCTTAATCATTTGACAATAAAAACTCATAAACCTTGCAAACATTGTATTTGAACTCAAAACATTGAAAATAACAATAATTATTTATTTACTAAGATCTCTTGATTCGTGTCTTTCAATACATTTTT